TGAAATAGAATGTAATGAAGTAGTAAGTAATTAAATTTTATAATTTGTAAGTAATGAATGGAGCGCAATGGAAGGGTGGCGAACGGGCATGTTGGGCCTGTTAGACCTGTCCAGTCAAAACCTGAAAAAAAAATGGTGGGTTGGATATAATTGAGGGTGGAGTTTAAAGCTTTGGCACACTCCGCAAAAAAATAGAAAACGTGATTGACTTGCAAACACTGTACCTCTAAAGTCTTAAAAATTTATGATAATGTTTGCGTTCAAAAAAATATGAGACGGGGCAGTCATATTAGTAGACGCGGACATGAAAATTTTGTCTATCATGTAAATAAAATGTGGATAAAAGGAACATGTCTGACAGACTGATCTCGTTTTACCACACCTATCATAATGAAATTCATTCCACCTAAATTCTTCAATCTTTCAATTCTCATTCCACCAAATTTATTCAATAGAATGAACTAACTTGTTATATTTTTCTATATAAAATTATAGAAAAAATACTCAAACAAAATAATAAAATCTCTTACTCAATTTTCTTCCTTTCACTCCATTCCATTAGATTTTATTCTACTATATTATGTTATACCATCAATCCAAAACGAGATTGAACAAAAAAATTCAATATGAAAATCACAATTAGACTGATTATAGGTTAAATTCAGCATTTTCAAATGAGAAAACACGTTGTTTTTAACTTAACTTTTCCATTTTTCAGTAAGTTTGATTGTCTATTCTAAAATGAATCCCCTCTTGCAAACTCAATTACATAAGAAGCCACAAAATCAATTCATTGTTTACTTGTGGTTGCCAATTAGATAACCCATTTTCTTCCATTATTCTGTGCTCTAGAGAAGGAGGCCAAAATAACAGAATATTCAATGCTAAGCCAACATCTGACTTTCTTTCTTACCTGCCATGCCTTACTTTCAAATTGTAGAGTTGTAAGTTGGAGGAAGAATAGAAAATTGGACTCCACAAGTCCATTTATTATAGCTGCTCCAAACGTGGAACCAAACATAGATGGAACTAATATCTTTGTATTACCAGTTTCCTAACCCAACATCTTCAGTTATTCAAATATGCATGCATAAGGAACTACTTCTGGTTCTATACTACATTACACCTCAAAGTGATTTGTGGCATCATCCACATTATTCTGGTGAATTTTGTAGAGGAAACCTGGTGAAATAGTACAAGACTACAAATTCTAGTATATAAAGAAAAACACATGTTTCGTTTGACCAAAAAAGTATAACAAATGGCAATTCAAAACACTTCTGATAGGGAGTCATCCTCTGTCTCAGACTTTGGAACTGTTTTGTTTTCCATGTATTCCTTCTCAATGGTATCTTTGAGGATAAACAATCTTTGAATAACTATTGGATCAGTCATTTGCCTAGCTTCTCTTAAATCTGATTCTTCCTTGTTCAGATTATATGCATCAAGCATTATCTGAATCCATTTGTGCAACTCCTTCGGGGTGCTGTTTAATTAATTACATACAAAGTAGAAGATTATCAGCAGAATCATAAAAGGAAGATATGCTTTAGAATAAACCATTAGGAAGTTCTCTTACGTGTATAAAGCATTAGGATCCTTGGCTTCATGTTCATCACCGGGAGAGAAAAGCCATTGCCAAGGCAGAGAATCGCTCCTCGGGGTCTATGATGTTTAACAAATGCTTTAGTAGCTTTATTTCTTTTGGAGCAATAGTCCTTAGGCTGCTCTTTGTGGTCTTGTACAATTGGTACATTATCTCTTTCACCTGCACACACAATATAGAAAAATATTTGTTGAGTATAATGTACACGTTAGGAGTTGGTGTTTAGCGTTCCGTACTAGGCAAGAATATGTTAATTAAGGTTTTGGATGAAAATGCAAGGTTATAAGAACAAAGGAAGGAGCGTTACACCTTGGTAGGAAAATTATTTTGGCTGTCTCTCATAGTAACAAAAAAATTATATATGGAAATTTTTACCTGGAAATTACTTAGGCCTCTCACTCTATAGAATGCTTCAAATAAATTGTTATGCATACAAACAAGACACCGGTCAACTTTGGCACCTTCATGATCAACTCACATTTTTTGTCCGCGGAATAGGTATGGCTTCCCACACACTTCTCTTAACATGACCCTACTTTACATTTTTATCCCTTACTTATCCTACAAAGTTGTAAGTTCAAATGCTCACTTTTTTTTATGTCTTGAGGTGTATGCATTTTCACGGGGTATTTTCTTACAAGTTACATCAACACAAAGAAGATGAATCTTGTTGGTAAAGGTAATATTAATAAATGAATTACATTTTCCTAGATTGTACGATCTCGTACATGCAGTCTTACGACCCCTTTCATTATAACGAGAAATCTATTCATTCACCTCTTGCATTAGCGATCACTCCATGCCTTTTTCAGCATCAAGTGTCACAAATTAGATTCTTCTCAGGCCCACTAAATTTTCCTATAGTACATATATGCGCAACCGCATCAATAGAATAAATTTGGGATCATTTTAGAGTTGCAAGCATAGTGTCTCAATTGAAATGAGTTTTCATACAGCTCTATAGACTTTCAGCTATTAACGGTTGTCACTAGCTGTCTTTGTAATAAGTAGTTTTAGTCACTTAATCAGTTAATCTGTTGTAACTGTCTTCTGAAGTTAGGTTAAGATTAGTTCATAAAATTACTTGTATCAGAAGCTCTCAAAGTATCTCGATTCATTGTTCAGTCAAATCACAAAAAAAGCTAATTTCATTTTCACACTACTGGGTTACCTTTCATAAGAAGATACAAATACATTAAAGGAAATAAGCATTTGCTTGTAAATGGAAATTTTCTCATATTTATTCATGTTGTTGATCTATTTTTTAAATTGCACACACCAACAAGACCATTCAGACATTTTAACACATGTATCAGTTAAGTACTATAATGCCATTTAACCGTTTTGATTGGTCTATCCTATGTATTATAAATTTAGAATGCCATGCTAACATTGACTAGGCACAATCAGAAGCATCTTGGAAAAGGATAGAGGAACATAAAGAAATCAATGGTGCATCATACTTAAAAGTCATACCTCATTCTTCATTGTTGTAGATTCTTTCGCTTTAGCCCAAGCACCATTTATCAACAATACCAATGAAGAATCAAGATCCTTTGCCTTTGCAAGGCTTTTGATTTTCTGACAAGCTACGTCAATTGAAGGAGAATTGAGGATATCATCAAATTTGGCCTGCGCAGCGTCTAACGTCTCCATATTCTTTAAAGTATTATCATATGCCCCAACAGACGATAAGCATTTAGCCCCAAGCCTTGCAATCCCTGTTCAACAAATAGGACAAAAATCAATCAACAGCAAAATAATCATTCTTTCTGGTGATTACTGGATTTAGAACAAATAATCATTCTTTCTGGTGATTACTGGATTTAGAACAAATAATCATTCTTTCTGGTGATTACTGGATTTAGAACAAATAATCATCAAGAGAAAAATAATCTAAAAACAAAAACTCAAAAACAATTACCATCACGATCCTCCAAGCTGTCATACGTATCAGCAATAAGAGAGAGGTAGCGGAAAAAGTCTCCAGAGAAGTCTCTGCGCCTTCGTGCAACTATGGCATTAATATCGGTCGGAAAATCTTGTATCTCCTTGAGAAGTTCATAGTGTCCTTCCATTTCATCATCAATCTGCAATGCTTACTCCTGATCAAACAGAACCAATGAAGAAGCTCTAAAACAAAAACAAAAAAATGTCTATATATGATAGTCAATAGCGATTCATTGCCAATCTTTCAGTTTTCAACTTTTCATTACATTTAGCAACAAAAGATTCTTTCATAACACAGACAACATTGAACTTAAGAAACATAGAGATAGAACTAGATAATGTGTTACCTTCTTAACCCTTCTCCCTAATGAAGCAAATTTCTCCTTCATTGTTGGTTCATTCTCCATCTCAGCTCTTCTTTGGCACCTAATGAAGAAGCTATTCCTATATTTCTTCCATTCCTCCCTAAATATCAAGTACTTCCTCCAATCCTTAGATTTGGTTTTCTGATTCAAAAATAAATCTATCATTTTGTCACAAAATTGTGTCATGGTGTAACCCTTTACAATTTCAATCTCTTCTTGTTCCTCCACTTGAGCAACAGAAGCATTACTAGCTTGTGGACCTAAAAAAATTTCATTTTTTTAGTAAAACACAAAAAAAAAAAAACCTAGAAACTATAAATTAGTAACCCCTATTACTTCAAATGAACGCAAAGGTTGAATCTTTTTGACAAACCCATGTTGAGAATACGAAAAAAACAAGAAATCGAGATGGGAAAGGGAACTTACTAGGAAGAGAAGCGCATAGGAGAAAATGGGGTTTGGATTGTGAGGTATGAGTTTTGTTTTGTGGTTTTGGAAGGAAGGAGTGAGAAGATTGTCATAGATAGGGAAGAAAGTGGTGTTGAATGTTGAGGTTGAAATTTTGAAGCTGTTCATGTTGAATTTGAGGTTGTGCTGTTCCTTCAGCCACAACAACAAACTCACTCCAACTTCACTCTTCAGAAAACAATTGACAGAATATTTCTTTATATATTATCTTATCCGTTTCGTCAACAAGAGCAAAATAAAATATTTTGTAAAAATTAAAAATTTATTAAATGCAATAAATATTAAAGTTAACAATGGTTTCAATAAATATTAAATGCAATAAATACTGCAAAAATATGGATAAATGTAATTGTAATACTATATTCCTTATATTTTATTAAAGGGGGGAATTTTGATGGTTTTAAAATTGTGTAGTATACACATTTTAATAAGTATTTTTCATTTTCTAAGGAATTGCAGCGGATTTTTGTCCACTCAGTAGAAACATCATGGTAAGAAATATTTTTTTGTATAAAAACTGAGATCAACTTATAATATAGATATATATACTATCGTAGGCTCTTGTAAAATCTCAATCCCATCAAATTTTTAAATACTAGTATAAATTAAAATTAAAATTATATATATATATATATATATATATATATATATATATATATATATATATATATATATATATATATATATATATATATATATATATATATATATATATATATATATATATATATATATATATATATATATATATATAACCATTATAATATAGCTGTTGTCATAGGATTAATAATAATATCACAGGTAGGGGTGTTCGCGATGCGGTTTGGGCGGTTTTGAAGAAAAAAATCACCCGAACCGCAAGAGAAAAAAAACATGCGGTTCGGTTTGGTTCGGTTGGATTTTAAAAATAAATCCGAACCAAACCAAACCAAACTAATGCGGTTTGGATTGGTTCGGTTTGTTCGATTTTTTATTAAAAAAATTATTAAGTCATACATACAAATATAGAGGAAAATATAATTTTGTGTTTAATTGTTCATACATTACCATAAAAAAATTTATAATTGTCAAAATAAATTTATAATTTGATACATAAAATTGCGTATTATAATTTTATATAAATCTAAAGAATGATATAAACAATATTGCATTCTTAAATAAATATTATACAAAGAATACGATAAAATATATTTTGTGAAAATAATATTTATAAATGAATAATGTTTTATTTTTTTATGATTTGTAAATTAAAATGAATATAATACAAAGTATGATAAAATATACACATAATACATGTTTATTTCTCTAAAGAATTAAAAAATATACATTGGTTAGTAAGATTTTATAACATAATGCGGTTTTGTTTGGTTTGGTTCGGTTTGTAAAATACAAACCGCAAACCGAACCGAACCGTGCGGTTCCGCGAGAAAATGACTCAAACACATCCGAACCAAATGCGGTTTTTTTGCGATTTCAGTTTGGTTCGGTTTGGTTTTACGGTTTTCTATTGGGCCGGTTTGGTTTTGAACACCCCTAATCACAGGCTCTCGTCAAACCTCTATCCCATCAAATTTTTAAATACTATAAATTAAAATTAAAATTAGATATATAAACGATTTTTTTTTAAATAATCAATTTTTTAAAATATTTTCAAATAACTAACTTTTCAAAAAATTTACTAAATTAACCACTTTTCAAACAAAAAAAAACCTGCTTCAAAGAGAATGAGTCATTCTGTGTGGCGCATACATGCAATTTAGAGAGAAGACACTACATTGTATGGCTTGTCCTCCTCTGTAAAGTCATACAATGTGACGTATGTATGTATTTTTAAAGAGGAGGTGTCACCTACTGTGACTTGACAGTTGTATTTATTAATTTTTTTAAAATAAAAAAAATAACTAAAAATATTTTATATTAATATTTTATATTACACAATGCATTGATACATTTTTTTGGACGTCCCCTCAACCTAAGCGGGTCTCAGTATGACATAAACGGCCCCGCGTTTGTCTCACCCCTTATCTCACTCCTCTCTGTTGATTTTTCTGAGGTGTTTGTGGTCTGTTCTGACTCGCTTGATTATCTGATACTTGATGTGATGGTCCTGGTACATCAGGATCATACATCTCATCGATCATTTCGTCCCACTGTGTTGTGTTTCCAAAGAGATCGGTGCCCATATTGTTGAAGTTCGGTCTTGTTGGTTGGGATGTGTGTGGGTGGGGTGGTTGATAGTATTGGGATATTGAATCGTGTTGGAAACGAAGCAACAGTTCTTGTGGTGTATGAAAATCGTATGATGGTTGGATACTTCGATGGTGTGATGTTTGACTGTATGTAGGTTTAGTGGTATGGTAGGAAGGAGATGTATCATATGTGTCTTGGGTGTTGTGGTAGGATGAGGGGGGGTGCATGTTGTTGGTGGTGTATGGTGGTTGGGTTGAGTGGGTTGACATTGTTGTTGGGTTTGGTATTGTTGAGGGGTTGGTTGTTCGACTAGGTATTATTGAGGAGTTGGTTGTTGGGTTTGGTATTGTTGAGGGGTTGGTTGTCGAGGTTGTTGTTGGGCGTATGATGCAGCTCTTTGGTGTGGGTCGGTCAAATATATCTCTTGAGACAAACAGATTTGTTGAAATTGATGTGTACCATCTCAAATATTAGAGAGTCGGTTTTAAGTCATCTTGCGAGATCGACTCCCTTAGGACCAATTCACGTTGATGCCTTCATTGACGATATTGATTTTTAGCGAAGTCTCTCAAATCATTAAATTCCCATTAGTCGTCAACTCTGAGTAGATGTCATTGTCCCAAACTTGTAGGGGGTCTGGGATACCCTGTTGCATGCCGAACTGTAGCTTCACACGATCGCTGTGGTGCATCTCCACAGTAGTGAACCTGATGAGTGTTGTTTTTGCAGACTTCAGCATTAGCGTGATTAATCTCATGGTCGAGATCCTTATATGGCCTCCAAACAAACTGTAGAGGAAAAAGTGTTAAACTAATATTAATATTAAACTTAATTAACCTATTGAAAGCGTTGTATAAAATATGTAAGTTTAATACCTCTTCGGGACCAACATGATCAATAAGATTTTGGTAGACTACTATTGCATTTCGAGGGGATTTGTTGTAATTCATCCCATGAACAGACCACCTACATAGGAAAAATGGGTAATAAATTAATACATGTTGGTTATAATATATAATATGTAAAATTTGTGTTTTTGTAATCTTACTTTGTAGCAAAGGGAAAGACGAATGGCCTTGTGTTGCGGGGGGCGAGTGTCGGCATCCTCGACCAGTACCATGTCTGGAGAAAAAAGGTGCAGGAATAGAAAGAACAACTTTTGTTCGATGCATTTTTACACAATGAACTATACATATGGGCCAAAACAGCAGATTCCCAACTATATGGAGGGTTGTGTTACAATCAGGGCACTTGTTCAATGAATGCACAATGAAATCATTTAACGAGGAGGCTGCCAAAGCAAACACCCATAGTGTCACCGTGTTTGACCGTGTTAAGGGTTGGTTCAATGTACAAGAGACAATGAATCATAATGAGGAGAGGCCAAGGATATTATTGAGTCGATCTAGATAGAGGTTGGTGTGATTGCGGAAAGTTTCAAGCATTTCACATGCCTTGCTCTCATGTCATAGCGGCATGTTCGCATCTTCGCTTGGACCCAATACAACATATATATCCCTCGTTTACACAGTAAAGAGCGTTTTAAGTGTGTACATCAATACCTTCTCCGTGTTTGCAAAGGAGGATTATTGGTCTGCTTATCAAGGGGACATTGTTTGGCACAATGAACAAATGCGATGGAAGAAAAAAGGGTGCCCCAATAGCACTCGTATTAGAACTGAAATGGATACGACCAACAAAATGATAAGATTATGCAATACATGTCGTCTTCCCGGACATAATAAAAAAAATTGTTCGAATATTGGGTCTAGCTCTGTAACCTAGTTTTTTTTATAACAAACTTTCCAGAGTAATTAATTTGTTGTACGCAAGAATTTTCAATTTAAATTCGGGTTTTTATTTCGTGTTCAATTTATCATTCGATTACAACAACTATCACATAATGATCCAAAAAATTACAACACGAAAAACTCAAGACAACAACACAACAACATGATAAGCAGACAAAACAACTAAACACATCATAATATCTAAGAGATAAAAACCATAAACACAATATTGTCTGGTCCAAGCATCATCATCATCATGACATCAATGTCACATCTCACCTTTTTCTATGACCGGCTTACTCCATTTTCGTTCCTCACTGTAATTTCCCTTTCTATTTTTATGATCTGTTCACATTCAGGAATGTCTCTTTCCAACCAGCGAAACAAGTGCCTCTGGAAATGCTCAAACGCCTGCGTGTTCCAGGGTTTGATCTTCATCAGAGGTGTTGTCACTGAAAAATAACATGCACATCTCTTTTGATCAGTGAAAATCTTGGCAAGGGAGTGGAAGACATTTTCTAAGTGTGATTTGAGAAATCGTGTGAATAAATAAAGAAGATTGGTAGTTGCATTTATAGATAACCATATACAACTGTCAAGCCACAGTAGGTGGTGCCTCCTCTTTAAAAATACATGCATGCGCCACACTGCATGGCTTTACAGAAGAGGACAAGCCATGCAGTATGGCGCCTCCTCTCTAAATTGTATGTATGCACCATACAGAGTGACTCCTCCTCTGTGTGACGAATTTTTTTATTTGAAAAGTGATTAATTTAATAAAATTTTTGAAAATTTGATTATTTGAGATTTTTTTTTAAATGGTTATTTAAAAAAAAAAACTCTATATAAATTGTAAAAGTGAAATAAATAAATAAATAAAACAATTGTTAATGATAATTACATATTTCTTATTTAGTCAAAAGATCTCATTAATTGTTAACCCTAAAAATATGTCATTCTTTAAAATTATTACCATAAATATTATTTTATTATTTTAATTTACCATCCTTTTTTAATTTTTTGGATAAGGACCAAGACTAACCACCATGTCTAAAATAAAAAATAGAAAAGATGAAACAAGTCTTCTATTTCTCTTAATATTCACTACAATTTTTTTTAATTTCGTAG